GTGTCCGATGATGAAGTTGATCAGAGGCCCCAAGGTCACTGTCAAATGTTCGTGACACATGAAGTTGATGCACTGGATTTCTTCGATAATTCCAGAGTCCGTCGCGACGTTTTCCCTGTCCGCAGTCGCCCGATGCTCTTTCTGCACCTGCTGTGTCGCCCGTATCTCTCGTTCCCGCATGTGTTCGCCTTCGTCATCGGAGGAATCGCTACCGCTGGCTGCATTGGATCGCTCGTCGTCCGAAGACTGGTCGCTACCCTCGGATTCAGATTGACGGGGTCGCTTGTTCTGGGCGAAGTTAGCATGTGTGTTGTTGGCTTCGGGGCGTTTGACATACGCGACTGTTACTGCTTGAGCCGTTGGGATCAAGCCCATCTGTGAGAGCGCGAGAGCGCTTCCCAGACATGACTGTGACCATAAGCGAGAGGGTCGACAGGCGCGGGTGGGCTGGAGGTACGGTTGCAGGTGCAGTTTGCGAGTGAGGTAATTCAGAACGCGCTCCTTCCCCGCTGAGCCGTTCAGGAACCGCGCTAGCGTCCGTGCATGGTCCAGCAGATTCACCCCCACGATACTTTTACGGCCAACGGCTCTCATGAACGTCCAGGGAAACGGATCAAGTACACTGAAAGCCAAAGCGAGGTTAGAGAGAAGATAGGCGATGCTTTGGAATTGCTGTCCGGTCGCAGCCAGAGAGGACTTTGGCTTCACTGCGGATAGTGTCAACACGTGACACCGCGTCGACGCGCGACGACCTAGGGACTGCCGCAGTACCCAGGTATGCACGGATGGCTAATCCCTTCCCGACTAACTCCAGGCGATGTCGTATCGCCATGGTTTTGCGACAGCCTATGATATTCCCATATAAGACTTAAAGGAACTTTTGTCAAGTTGGATTGCAAGACGACGGCCTGCTGGCAGCGGCGAAACTACGCACGATAGCCCGCATTCCCGCACATCACGATTTGTTTCCACGCATGCCATTGATCTCAATTCTGTCTTGCCTGATTGCATTTCGTCTATACTTGGAAATCACTAATGCCGCTTCACGTGTTCCGAAGATGGGTATATCAAGTGTTAGTACTGCGACCGCTCACTGTTATGCAAGATCAAAACTCCGCTATGCAAAACGTCATCCAAATCGCGCTGTTCCAGCACTGTCAAATCTACATGACGATCTGTGGGAGGTTAGCAAGGGTTTCCTGGTGCATACCGGATGTGCAACTTACACAATCGCCCTCCTTGGGTGCCTGCCCTATGCCCATTTCATCAAATGTCTTTGGGCCCTTGCCTGACGTCGAGGAAGCCGACGAGGCTGGCTTGGGTGGTGTAGGTGTAGCCGGCTTGTTTGCTTGTACTGGTGCAGGCTTTGGAGGTGGCGGCTGCTGTTGCAACGTCTGCACCCTGTTAGGCTTGGGCATATTATCGTATCCGCTGGGACGTCCTGATGAGCCCGGCCGTGAGGAGGGCCGAGAGCCTTGCCCTGGCGTAGTAGTTGAGGGTCTGTCCATTCTCGAGGAGGTCCTACTCTCCTGACCCGGTTGAACGGTAGATGGCCGGGTATGCTGGCGAGGCTCGAGAGGCGCAACGTACCCGATATCGGGCAGAGTTGGGGCTTTCTTAAGTGGCGCCCCCTGTTGTTTCTGCAGCTTGTTACGTCCATCTGGCGCACTGTATCCGATATCTGGAGGCTGCGTGGTTGATGGACGGGGCTGCGCTTCTGGACGCTGAGCACTCGGCCCTCCAGGTTGTCTATAGCTTGCAGGTCCCCCTTGTGGCAGCGGCGCGCCACGGCCACCACTAGAAGGACGGCCACCACGACCTGGGCCCATATTATCTACGCTCGTGTGAGGACGCATTGGCATCGGCCCCATGTCATAACCTGGGCCGGGATTAGGCCGCGCGCTGCCGCGTCCGTAGGGATCGTTTGGAGGGTAGACATTGGGATTGATGTTGAACGCTGAGGATACAGGTCGAGTACTGGAAGCTCTCACCTCTGGCGCAAATCCGCCAGCGATACCTGGCCGCTGCGGGCTCAATCGCGGAGGCCCATTGTCCATAGGATATGGCGCTGCTGTGGAAGGACGATCATAAGGTGCCGACATGGGTGCACTTGAGATCATTGGAGGCTGGTCAGACATGGGGTATGGCGTTGTGCTATCGCCCCTGGCTGGTAGTCGGCCACCTGGAGAGCTGTCACCGTAATCGGAAGGGCTGATGTCGTTGATAGACGGCATGGGAGCGTGTGACTTCTGCAGTCTCGCCGGTCGCTGGCCTCGCATGGAGCCGTGCTTTGACTTGATCATGTTGATAGCAACGTTCTCGTGGTCCTTCTTCGATAGTGTCCGCGATAACTTGGAGATGCTCTCTATACGTGCAGACGCGTCTTTATTGCCGTTCTTCTCTGCCTTGTCGTACCATTCAAGCGCTTTGTCCAGGTTGACTGGAGTGTTCATGCCGATCTCGTGGAAGTAGCCCATGGCGAACTCTGCAGTCGCAAGGCCGGCTGCGGCGGCACGTTGCGCGTATTGGTATGCCAACTCTTCGTTCTTGTTGAACTCTCCCTCATGTCCGCAGAGGAACCATTTGCTGATAGCCATGTCTGCCTCGGGCTCACCCTGCCTAGACGCGAGCGCGTTGTAGTGTAGCGACAGGGTGGGATTGAACTCACAGCCTAGACTGCAAAGCTCGTACGCAGAACCCATCTTCAGCTGAGCCTTTGCGAATCCGAGGTAGGCAGCTTTCTCGATGTTCTGTCTCGCGCCCTTTTCGTCGTAGGGCAGAAACATTTCCGGTACGTTGATCTGAGGCAGCTCCCGCGCCTGCAGCATGCCCAGCACGTAGGCACCCTGCGGAGCATTCTCATCCGCAGTAGCCGCAGCCTGCTTGATGAGTTGCACTCCCCTCGCAAAATCTTGTGGTTGTCCGTGCTGTCCGAGTAGCGTCATCATACCAAGGCGGTAGTTGGAGGCCGAGTCGCCTTGTTCCGCGCCAGCTTTGTAGTTCTGCAGGGCCTTGATCGGATCGTTCGACTGCTCGAACTGCATGCCCATCCGGTATTCGGCCCTCGCGTACCCCTTTGCAGCCGCACGGGAGTAGCACCTGAAGGCCTCCTTCTTGTCTGCGCGCATGCCAAACTTGCCAAACTCCAGCCACATGCCCCGCATGAAGGTCGCTTTCGGATGGCCTTGGTCGGCCAAGAAGGTGACTACGTTCATGGCATCGAGCCGCAGCTGATGCTCGACCTGTGGTGTTGCCGGTCTCGCGCCCTGGATCTCTGAAATGCGCTGCTCGTGCAGCTGCGCGGCGTCTACGTACTGCAGCGCGTCTTGTGCCCACGCCAGCTGCATCTCCGGGTCGTTGGAGTTGAGCACGGGCAGGCGCGCATTCTCCAAGACGGCCTCTTTCTCATCGTCGGACGGCGGCACGTTCGGGGGCTTGTTGGGGAGTTTGGGGAAGGGCGAGAAGTTGGGCGAGTCGTGGCTCTGGGCGAACTGGTTGTAGTCGTGCGACGGCTGCTGCTGGACCGACTGGGGCTGCACGTTGGGGGGCTGCCGGAAGGCAGAGGAGATGCTCGCTTGCCGGGCGGGCCATTGGTCGTTGTGGACGGGCAGCTCGTTCTGGTAGCTCGCCTGCCGCGGTGGGAAGTTGTTGTGCTGTGACTGATTGTAGCTCTGCATGGGGGACATGGCGCCGTTGGTACCACGAGGGCCGTTGGCTTCCAACTCCAGATGCGCGATGTTTTCCTGCATGTTCTCGGGCACTTCGGGCATGATCCTACCGCCAAATCTACGTCAGCCGCAATTTCAGGGCATGCACATGGCGATGGGCTAGAACGAACCGCTGAGGCGCAGGCGAGATGACTTCAGGCGAAGGAGCCGGCATATAGTAGTCATCGAAGCCTCCTGGCACAAAAGTAGCCCCCAGCTTGGGCTGGCCTTGGTGGTAGCTCATTGTGATGGTGCGATAGGGTACTCGCTGCGGTGCTTGAGATATAAACGTCAGCCGTTGTCCAAGAGAAACAGTCTTCGATGCACGTTGCCGCCTGGCCCCAGGGACCGTTCCGCGCAGCACTCATCGAGGCCGCCATGCATGCCGAGTGACGCGTGGAGCGGGAAATGAACGTACCTTAACTTGGTGGGGTATGGCCCTGAGTCGCCGTCGCTAAGTGCAAACTCGCCGGCAACCCTTGCGATCTGTCGGATATCGTATACGAGAGAGCGGACGATCCTCGTAGTCGTATATGGTGTAGCTATCTCGCCGCGCGCTTTTGTACAGGTAGTCGAGAGTGGCGGCGGTGCAGGTTTGAGGGGGAAAGAATAAGTCCAGGGAGATATCCGAAACGACCGACGAGTCCGTTTGCTGAAACAGGCGCTGAAGAGTCGTGTAGTCCTAGAGTTCTGCAGTGTGTGAAAGGTGCGTTGTTTGACGTCAAATGGTCGAGTGAGCTCCCCAGGTTTGCACACATGTGCACTCTAAAGGTCACAAGAACAAGAGCGAAGGATCCCGAAGGTGGTGACCAGCATCGTTAACGATGTCGCCCCCCTTCCTATCCTTCACAGTTACTATAAATGTTTCGACACACGTCTCGGAAATCAGCCTCCGAGTTCCCACCACTGCGCCATTCACTTAGAGGCTGTGCAGTGACGTTGGCTACTCCGAACCACCACTTTCAGCCTGTGTAGACGGATCCGCGCAGGCCACATCCCGGATCCAACGGCAGCGGCAGGTTCAAGAAGACTGTTGCGGAGATGAATATGGAAAAGGCCACGTACTCGGGCCCAGGAATGGCTTGCGCGGCTGCATGCATTCTTGTCGACTATCTGAGCCTCACCCTGATAGTTTCCATCACGGCACACGTTTTGTCACGTAGCATGGACTGCTTTCTTGCTGGGTCATTCATAATTCAACTTCTTCGTGACAAGATGAAGACTAAATAGTGCGGACAGAGCGGCGAGGCGACTGCTGTCTACATATCTAGAAGAAAACTACAAAGCGGTAGACATCGCTTCCTGCTCGAAGCACTCGCGATGATGAAGTATACAAGCAAGGAACCCGACGGCACATCTAGTGAACCATAACATCCGCACCAGGCTGTTGCTGCTGCGGGGCACCTCCAGGCTGTTGTTGGGCTGGCTTGCCACCGCTGGCAGCGCCTGCCTCGCCCTCGTCCATCTCCATGTCATCATCTCCGCCCTCCTCGCCCTCTTCCTCCTCATCGTCTTCTGAGTCTTCAATGTCAATCTCTTCACTGCCGGCCTCGGACTCAGCGTCGTCGTCGGCAGCGGGGCCTGCAGTGTCCTCGGCACCTGCCATAGCGGCATCCTCACCCTCCGCGGCGACGCCTTCACCCTCAGCCTCTTCAGCCTCCTCTTCTTCCTCTTCCTCGATACCGTATTGGTCTCCGTCGGCGGTGAGGTCGGCCTCTGGCTGCTCAGGGGGGAACTCGGGGGGTGCAGACTCGTCGGAGTCCCTGAATGGGTTAGTACTGCCAAATACCACAAGTGTCTGTAGCTGCGTACCACTTGATGGCGAAGCGGGTGACTCGCGGCTTCTCTGCCAGAATCTGCCTCTGCACCTTCTCAATGACGGGCTTGGTAGGCGGGTCTAGTGCTAGCGCCTCGTCTGTGTACTCGTTGTTCACATAGTATCCGACACGCACAAACTCGCGCTCATCGTAGCTGCAGCTAAGCAGGATGACTGTGACACCGATGATCTCGCTGTTGGGGATGCGCGTGAGGTTGGGGGCATCGGCCTTGAACTGGAACTTGTTGACGCCAATGGGGAGGGGGCCGACGAGGACAGAGTCGAGTTCCTGATCATACTCGTTTCTGCGGGGGAATTGATCAGACGTGTTCACGAGCAGGGGCAGCAGCGGACTTACGAGGTCGCAGAGCCAACGTAGGTCAATTTCCACTCGAGGTCTGAATTGTCGTTAGTTGCCGTGGCCTATCTTCGTGCTGAGCGCACTTACCCTTCTGTAGTTGCTCAAGGCACTCAAAGGTGATCTCAAACTCGTACGGCTCGTCGAAGCGCGCGGGGTTGTTCTTGACCTCCACACCGAGAAGCGACACGACAGACATTTTGAAGGCGGAAGTGATGAAGCAAGAATAAAGGTAGGTGAGACGGTCGGTATGGACAATGTGGTAGACTTGAGAGTCGAGAGGCGTGCGTGGTGGGGATTCTGCAAAAGGCGGCAGGAAAAGGTGTTTGTTATGGAAGCGGTGAGGACGTGCGTTAGATAGATCGCGGCGGCAACGATCAGTGGATCTTTGTCCTAGGCTGTCGCGGGTCGCGTTCAACTAAAAGCGTGACCAGGCGTTACGCGTTCGCGTCAGAGCCGTGTCCTACGTATCTTCCACGTCTGAAGAGAAACCGGAATAACCCACCAGGCGTCGCATCGCTCCGTGCTTTGTTCCAGGCCTATCATGTACTGATGCTGCGATGATTCTTGCGTCTAGGTAGTCTTGATACGTACATAGGTAGCGAGAGGGATCCAGTCGACTGCATTAGCTTCACCCCAGGGCTGCATCCAGGAACGTCGCAGCTACGGTCGAGGCTATCTTCAGCATTTGGGAAAGGGTCAGTCTCCCCCTTATTTAGTGGGCGGGTTTTCCCAAAGTATGAAGACGTGCTATTAAGCTACATGTTACAATCTGGCGTTGTAGGGTTCAGAACAGAGGCATCTGAATCTATCGTATTGTGCCGGTATCCGCAATATACTTGCTAGACTTCAGACAAACCGTCGCGCAAGGCCTCTGCTTCTTCTCTACAGGCACGTAGGATAGGTTTGGCGGGACAAGTGACTAGGGCAATGACGCTGACAAAGACTGATCCGCAGTAGTCGATGCATCGCGGAAGCGCTAAAGCGGGGCGGGCGGTCATGCTAAGTCGTAAGCAAGCAGCAAACACGATTCCTTCCAAAAGTCGTGGAGACGCCTCGAGTTCATGCAAGAAAGGGATCGACTTTATGTGCACGTCCTCCGAAGAAAATCGACACCATCTGTAGCTTGATACCTACGTATCTACTTAGTCAGGGTCTTACGCCTGAACCATCCCATAACCCAGAAGTATACCATTCTGAAACCCAACATTACTTAGTTATCACTAGAGTGGAGACCGGGGAAGTGAGTAATGTATTGCATGCCCTGCTTGCTCCTTCATGTACCATGTCGCTGATCGCTGCGCAGAAACACTGCATCGGATCTTACGTCCGTAAGGATCCTATCTCTCCACTACCAAGCTTCAACAGCATCTCAGCCATGTCGAGTCCATCATTGTCGAATCAGAACGGATCTCAAGCTTCCCCACCAATTGCAGCCGATAAAAGGACACAACAGCCTGCACCGCGCGTTCGCCGCAGAAATCGACTCATTACTTCTTGTCTCGAATGTCGACGACGGAAGTTGAAGTGTGACAAAGGCCATCCGTGTTCACATTGCACGAAAAACACGCGACAATGCGTATTCATTGCATCTGGCCTTGATGCAAATGCTCAGGCAAAGCTAGCCGAGGTTAAAGAGCAGATGGGTCGTTTGGAGAGGAGCCTAGAAGAAGATGTTGCGCGCAAGACAGAGATAAACACCAGAGATACTGCAAACTTTTCCAGAGTCGGTACACTCCCTGGCCAGGAACAGTCAAGCGACCAAGAAGACGATGAGGACACTAATGATCTGCGACCGACACATCTCGTGACTGAAGATGCAGCTTACTATGAGCCTGACGATGATGTCAACGACGACATGGTCGATCTGGGATTTCGCATGGGGAGAGTACGCATCACAGAACGCATTGGAGGGCTTGTTCGCCCACGATTCTCAGATGAAGTGAGTCTTCAGGCATTTAGCATGTCTAATTGAACTAACGCCTCCCTCGTAGCTTGCTTCGACACTCAAAGAGTTACCAGATCGCGAGTCTCCGTCTCCGTCTACCATCGAAGAAGATGGCGCAAACTGGTTAGCGCCAACACAAGATTACGTCGTTCCATCTTCAAACTTTGTGTTGGCGTCCGGAATCGGCCAACCCGCTCTTGAGTCTCATCTGCCTGCGCGGGTCGTAGTGGATAAGTTGCTCTCTCACTATTGGTTTGCGGTGCACACAATAGCTCGGACTGTTCATCGCCCTTCATTCGAGCGACAGTATCAGAACTTCTGGATCAGAGTCAACATGGGCATGGAGCCTCGCGCGTCTTTCCAAGCGGTGCTATTTGCAGCTTTGCTGAACTCGGTCGTTTCAATGACCGATGACATGGTTCACGTTGAATTTGGTGTTGAAAAGAAGACCATGATAGACAGCTTCCGTGAAGGAACCGAGACGGCGCTTGCTCGAGCCAATTTTCTCCGCACTACAAAATTGGAGACAATTCAAGCTTTCGTGATGTACCTCGTGAGTCTGCCATTCTCAAGCGGGTACACAGCAAATTGTCCCAGCTGTCACCATATACTCCACCAGACCGTGCTAACGACCTCCTGCAGATTCCTCTATGTCGCAATGAAGTATCTCGCGCACACTCCGCACTAACTGGATCGCTTATCCGCTTGGCTGAATGTATGGGCTTGCATCGGGATCCAACGACCTACAGCACCTCACCGGTTGAGATCCAAGTGCGGCGTCTCATATGGTACCAAATATGCTTTTTGGATCTGCGCACTTGCGAAGCTGTTGGCCCACGTCCGCAGATCAGACTCGACGACTATGATACTCGATTTCCGATGAACATAGACGATGTTGATCTCGACCGTGCTGAGCGTGGCGAGAGTGGAACAGATGTCAGTAAAGACCGCAGCCACTTCACCGACATGACTATCAGTCTCATGCGATTCGAAGGCTACGAGATGCATCGCTTTCTCTGGAGCGAGCGCCCAAAATTGGATCGCAAACGCGCTGATGGGAAGAGTGAAGTTACAATTACTTCGCTTCTGTCGCGTGTTCAGTCTTTTCAAGCGGCTATGGAGAAAAAGTACCTTCCCATGCTGTCCAAGACAGAGCTATTACACGTTTTAGCGTCGGAACTATATGGAATCGTCTCGAATCGCCTGTATATTTCCATCTTACAAAAGTACATCACTTCTGCTCGCTGTCGGATGCCGGAGCGCCTACGACAATTGACACTAAGCGCAGCGACCATGATTCTGGAACATGGCATGGCAATTGAGCAGCATCCAGCTCTATCCTCCTGGTCCTGGATCGTTGGTGCTCTCCACCAGCATCACTGCGCGCTTCTTCTTGTGAATGAAATATACATATCAAACCCGGAACCAGCGATGGAACAGCGCATATGGAGATGTCTAGACTACTCGTTCAATCTACCTAATGGACTATCCAACGTCGAGAAAACTAGGATGGTCTTGGAAGAGCTCGTCGGCAAGACAAAAATGTATTCTGATTTGAAGAGAGTACGGGTTCCTACAAACATGCCGCAAGCTGGCCTGGAGCCTCGACAACGCGTACAGAGGGAAGAAGGCGGACGTAACGGAAGCACGCAGTCAAATACGAGTACTGCTGGTCCCCTTTCGCACTTACTGAGCGGGAATTCAGATGTGCAAAACCTCGCACAGCCACTACCATCGCCACCGCAGAGTTCCCAGGTTCAATCCACATTGGTACCTAGGCTCAATACCTTCCCTGGCGCCATACCGACTGTAGACTGGGGTACCATCGACATGCCAGCGACAGTATCCGCTTCAGCCTATGACAGCATTCCTGGGAACAGTCCACGCAATCCGATGCCGAATACCGCACAGCAAGGTGAAAGTAATAACAGTAGTCCGAACTCGATCATGTACGAAGGTGGAATGGCAGCTGGTTCGAACAGCAATACTGCAATGGACGCCATCAACGACATCGACTGGGTAAGTGACACTCTCGTCCCTTCAGATACTGACATTGCTAACGATGATATAGAATGACATCGAGGAGATGTTCGGTGACGCTGAGATGGGAGCCGGCAATATGCTTGTTCCGCCTTTCGCATTCCCATCCTTCTCGGCTTCGGATCCGCGGTGGCCGGCTTCAGATCGAATGCAGTAACCCCGTAGAGTCAATCATCAACAATATCAACCGCACATATTATGTAACGTATCCGCTCCATGGATCATCGATGAGGGCTCCTCATGACTTTATCGATGTTCCCTGGTGGTCTGGTGTTCAGCGAGTGTTTTGGTCTAACATGATCACCACCACCCATCATTTCTTTCACATACTACCATGGGACAATGGAAAGTAGGCACACATTACGTTGCCTCTAAGCTCCAGGGGCGATTTATCTAGGCTTAGTAAGCCAAGAACAAACCTTGGAATATAAGATCAGGCAGCCGCCCGGCAATTCTCCATCCACTATCTACCAGAATCTGCACAACAAACAACATTACACAATGCTAAACCAATCAAGTAATGAGGCGAACCCCAAGTCAACTACTATCGTGAACACATTTGCTTCCCCACCGCTACCAAGGTGGAAGGAGCTGTGCGACCTTCCCAAACCTAGCGGCCCACTCCCCGAAGGAGACGAAGGCAATGCGGCTAGTAAAGAAGAAGCCTTAGGAAATAAAAGAAGCCTAAGACAGCGAGCAAGGAGACAAAGGCGAGAAGTGAAACGGCATAGGTACTACATATGAGAAGCAGGGTAGTGCACGTAACGACAACCTCGCGTAGACTCTACGCCAAAGTGCTATCTCGCAATCGAGCGCTGCTCGTCTTCCGAGCGTCACCTTTTGGAATATGTGGTCCCTTCCCAACTCCGCGGTCGCACTCCAACCTGCATTCTCGTATTAAGCGCCTTCATAGTTGAAGCACGACTCTTCACCCGACTGATATCCCTCAGCGCCTGGGAAACAACGGCATGCCGTTTACCAGTCTTCTCTATCCAAGGCTCCACGTTCGGATTACAAGCATATTCCATAAGCGCGTCCGATTGCCCGGTCGTCCGGGATTTCGAAGCGGTATAGCAAGGACTCGGCTCGCAGCACGGGAAGCGGGGACAGCTCATAGATTTATCCTCCGAAGTGGTAAGGGATTCGGTGTTTGCTGGTTGGTCTGGTGTTGCAGAGACGTTTCTGGTACGATATATACACTGCCGCTATCCGTTCTTCCACATACGACCATAGGACAATGAGAATTAGGCTTCCCGTCCGCTCAGCCATATACAAGCATTGTACCGGCGGATTAGTAGTTAGGTGGGTGACCACTAGCGAATCCCCGCTGTTGTATGTTTTTGAAGTTCTCATGAAGTTTTTTTTCTTGCATGTGGGGGCGACCGGCATTGGGCCGACTAGAGACGATGTGGGCCTGAGAACACGCAAACGTAGCTTACATGACAAGTGCAGAATCTTGTAATCTACCCGTACTGTGATCTCTTTTGCTTTAGTATTTGATGGAGGAGCGTATTATTGCGGAAAGGGACAGTGACTAGTGACATGATCGTGATGATTTGACTATCGCAACATCCCTCTCCTCAACCCATTCAGGCGAAAACCATGTAGCTTAAGAGCATCAAGAGGGAAGATGGTAACAGGGAAGCAAAATATGCAAACTCAGTGATAGCATCCCAATGCATGACATTAGCTCTCACCACTTTGTCATCAGGTGTGGTCCGAATTCGTGTCGCATACATGCTAATAAAATTGAACAACTACACAGCCTCTAACGTAATGTATGCCTCTACCTTGAGTCTTCTTAACAAAATGCGACATGAATTGTAGCCACGTCTAGGGTTGTCAAAATTCCGAGTACCCACGGTGCATGCACTAAACAAAGGCAACATGTCATAGTCTCACGAACCAAAACGTGACTTCTGCACCATTCTCATTGAATCTCTCACGCCTTGTTACAGCAAACCCGTATCACTTCATGTGTGCATGAATGATCGCAACACCTACTATGTATCCTCCCCACCGCAACTCACATCAACTTAACTCACACAATCGCCAGCAGAGATGTTCGAAAACACAACCGCAGAACTTCTCTACCTTCGCAACTCAATCATGGGTCACATGCCGCTTGTGAACCCCTAGCTGCACGGTAGGCTAAGCCTAGTGACATACCCTAACATCGATGACACATGGGACGTGCGCATTGTAGTAGTCAAGTCGAGTGAGCCGTACGAAGCAAGGATATTGGGGCATGTGAACGATAGCCTATACGAACTGACGGGGTTGCGGCAGATGCTCCATGCGCTGCGAGAGGACCATAGACGGAAACTTCAAGAGAGAGTAACAGGCGATATACTTCGCAGTGCTGGTGTTGAGGATTTACAAGGACGATCTCATAGGTGGAGAGGGGCTGGAGTACCGCAGATAGGTCAAGAGATACCAGTGCGTTATATGCCAGCTGGGGGACCAGAACCGGCACGGTAACCGGATGGACCTGGGCAATTGGAGTGGCGCTGTTCCGCCTCGGAGGCACGGGGTTGCTGAATGGACTGCTGCTCATGAGCAATATCAGCGCGAACAAGAAGAGCAGGCTGCACAGCGGTACTAGGGGCTAGGGCAGTCATTTTGTTTCACTTTTAGCTCATCTTGACAAATGATGTATTTGGTCAAGATCCTCCGTAGAAAGAATGCGTAATGCTACATGTCACTGATGATCGGGAGCATTGCCGGTATGCGATTGGATCATGTGTGGTACAGGGATGATGGAACCGTTTTGACTTCATGTGTGAGCGTTAGAGTCACATGTAAATGACGGGAGTCATCCTGAGGCGGTGGCTTGGCGTGACATATGGTAAAGTTTCTTGAAACACTGCACGAAAGACTGTATGATGCCAGAGTCTAGATTTCGAAGCGTTGGAAACATTCAAAGAAGTTATGCTTTCTTTGCAGCCTACTCGGTACCTGCGTGAGGTTCGTCTCCGTTCTAGGGCTTATGGATTGGCGGTACGGAACGAGCCCCGGCGGTAGCATAAGGTTTGAGTGCGGCAATCGTATATCATGAAGTCAGATCTAGATGCGCGTCAGACACAAACCCCTGCTGGACATTCTTGTCTCGCAGCCCGGTAGAAGTACGTTTGATGTTGCTCTTATTGCCACTGTGGGGAAGATAACGCGGGTAAAAGAGTTTCGAGATTGACCTCAAGATAGCGCATAGTGATGGCGCGTAGGACAAGAGGCTAAGATGGATGATTGTGGTTATTTCTGATACAATTATTTGGAAGTGAGCGGCGCTGGCACTCCCCCTTGCTGTTCGCACTATAGATTGCCAAGTATAGGGTTCGCGCTGCGGCGACGCAGGCATGCCGCTAAACGAAGAAGCACTCACAACTTGGCATGTGACAGCCGTGAGTATTTTGTGCCAAATTTGTTGATGGTGGCGCGAATACCAACGGGCGATCGTGGGGAGCATAGAGTTTCGGCTATCTTGGACGATGGCTTATCGTCGGGCCTTCCTCGAGTGTTTGATCACAGCGCAGCAACTTTAGTTTGCGAAAAACAAGATATCTGGTAGCAGGGGGGGCTATTGGATATGAGAGATGATGCATGGCTGGGCAAGCGCGATAGGCGACTGAGGGGTGGCTCAGGATGCAGGTCCGGTCTTGGTATATTGGAACACTGCAGCGTGTATAGCCGGAGCGACAAAGGAAAGTGCGCATCCCGGGGGGTATAGTCACGCTACGTGCCTGTTGATCTCTGGATTACTCAAAATATGAATGACATGGTATGTTATCGGAGCGGCTGCCCAAGATCAGAAGGTCGCGATGTCAAGATCTCAGGCAGTGGAGGGCTATGGAAGGGTGTTCCCTGTATACGGAAGATTTCTGGTGACGCATCTGCGGGCTCGGAGATATGAGCACTAAGCGAGTATTGCCGTACAACGTGTCCATGAGGAAGTTGCGATGGGGGGACTGCCGGTTCGACGTGTTAATGCCAGCGTGGGCAGGAATAAGGTCGGGATGAGTTGGCGCTCGAGAATTCAGGGGTGACTCGTGCCGTTGGGCAAACGCAAGTCCAGCAATGCATCTCTCCACCGGAAGGGTGGTGGTGGACGAAGAGGCAAGATATGCAGGAAAGCGGAGTTGTGGATTGCCCGCAGGAGGCGCGACCCGTGGTCTCAGGCCGTGCAGCAGCCCCCGGGACTTGTACCTTTTTAATTGATGAGCCAAGAGTCCGTCTGCACATTTACTGTTGGATAGTCATTGAGATGCGCGGTGCACATTTGGGTGATTAGTCTAGCCGCGTGCCGGCCTATCAACGCCTGCTGGAGTAGCTTTTTTCTTAGCAAGTCAGCTCGTTTTGGGTATACCGAACGTTTTAAGAGGCAGTGAGAACAGGCCCGGGGGCCGACCCTATTGACGGAGCCGCGTTAGTGAACAAGTGAACAGTGCTTGGGGTTCCTGATTTGCCGTGTCTCTGCAGGATGCCAATGGCTGGTGGTACACGGCAGCGTTTCATAGGGAGCGACCAGGAGGCTGGTCAGGGCGCGGGGACCAAGACACTTTGACTCGTAGTCGCGACCGTGTTGGATGCTTCGGTCGTGGGCGTGCAGGGGTGCCACGACAAAGTTTGGGATCTGCTGCACCGGCATCTCAAAAGTTGCTAGCTGCCCTTCTCCTGCATTGGGGCCAGCGGCCAGCACAACGTTTCTCTGCCCCGAACGCGTCTTGCGACCGCGACGGCGTCTGTTGCCCTCCCTCCTGCCCTCTCTGTCCTCAGATCATTACCTGGGGACTGAGGCTTGCTCCCCCATCTGGTGGAGATCCGCACGTAGTGCTCGCGCGTGGCTCCTCTTGGCCTCGTCCTGCAACACGACCACCATTGTCGGTTTGGAACCCCTGAAGCCCCGCAACCCTCTCGTAAACTGAGTTTAGACCGACCGTCGCCTGCGCGTGTCATGCGAAAGCGACTGCGAGACGCCTTACCTCACCCCTAGCATCGTTCTGCCGGCCGCCGCTGGCTTCCCAGGCTGAGGAACGGCGCGCCCAAGCAGCATCGCGCCATTGACCACCTCCGTCACCTGTCCGTGCCGTCTGCAGTCACGGCACGCTGCTCAATTGCTCCTGCATAGCCCTCAGCGACCTGTCTGGGCTTTCCGGAGAA